CAGTGAGCTACCTGATAGGAATGCTACTGAAAAATCAAGGAAGTTAAGGAGTGAAATGCCCACGGGGTTTCACAACTTGTCTTCAGATAGAGTTTTGGGAGACTAATTCAGATTTGAGTAGCTTGAGGAGCAAAGAGCAGGTGAAGAAATGGAGATATGGAATCTAAGCAGCCCATAATTTTATGTTTGTTGGACATTTGTTTCTTCTATGAACTCTCTGTTTATGTCTTTTGTTCTTCTTATATTAATGCTGTATCTTCTTATTAGTGTGTAAGAATGTGTTATATTTTAAGGTTTTGTCTTTACACTAGGTCTGTTAAATATGCTGCAAACTTTTTTTCAACATAGTCTTTCCCATTGCGGTGAATGTAACCTTGATATCAACTAGAGTTCTGCTAGCTATAGAAGAGCCACTTGTGATTATATCTTATACTATAATGATCGTATGTTTCACCCATTCAATTAATGTATATTTATTGCTTTCACTATGTGCTCATGATTAATTTTAAAAGAATTTGCACTATAATTTTAACAGAATGTTCACAGCTCACTACAGCAGTAATTTTAGTAGATATAAATGGGATATTTTAAAAGCCTTAGATAACAACTATAAATTGTAGAAAGAGCTGAAGATTCACAGTAAATACCCTAAAAACAATCTTTTCCCAAACATAGTTTTACTTACTATTTTGTAAATAAAGCAAAGATAGAGCAATTAATCTTAGGCTAAACTCATCCAATTCATCATCTGGGTTAAATATTGAATCAAGTCTTACCATAACACTAATAAAGAATATTATCTGCATGGATAGTAGCTGTCCCTAAAATAGAGAGGAATGAGGAGTTTGGCTCAGGGCACCGGAATTAAAGACCGATGAGGGAGTTTTAAAAAATTTACTGAAGTGTTTATATCCATAATATTCATAGCAGTGATGTAAAAGTAACCACAATACATTTAGGTAATTTTTATCACATTGAGTACTCATGATTTTTTTAAGATTTTATTTATTTATTTGACAGAGAGAGACACAGCAAGAGAGGGAACACAAACAGGGGGAGTGGGAGAGGGAGAAGCAGGCTTCCCGCGGAGCAGGGAGCCCGATGCGGGGCTCGATCCCAGGACACTGGGATCATGACGTGAGCCGAAGGCAGACACTTAACGACTGAGCCACCCAGGCACTCCGAGGCCTCATGATTTTTTATAACTACCTATTTTTAATTTGTCCACAATAAACTTCAAAAGAAATAGAGGTTCTATGAATACTCTGCATAACAGCTTTATGAAAAAGGATCCTCCTAAAGAAATTAAAAAAAAATGGAGAGTAGCATATAAGATCAACTTTTATCTATTTGGATGAAAAATAAAACAGTTCAGTTAGATAAAATACTTCTCTTACAATTATTCGTGCTGGGCGTGTGTCCCTGGATTTGAAGAATATAAAGTATTTTTTGCTGTCTTTGTTAATGTTTTAGGACTATTAAATAAGACATATTGAAATAGTTCCCTAAGATTTCCAGGTAAGAAAGAGTGAATGTCATTTTAAAAATTCTCTAATTAAATATTACAATCAATACTGGAGTATGAGCTCTGAAATTTTCCTTTACTACATATTAATAAACCCTTCCTAGAGTTTCTAACTTAATCTCAAAAATGTGCTTAGAAAACGGAAGAAAAAATTTTGTTTTTTAATATATTCCCACATATCAAGTGGTATATGGCCATAAATGAATAAAATGACAATATTTGTATTATATTAATAATTTTCTATTATCTACATTCTCAATTACAACAAAGGTACTATATACATAAGGTGTTAAATGTACATTTAAGATATATAATATATAGATATATAGTTTATATAGTATAAACAAGCACTAAATTCTAATTTAAATGAAGGTAATAATTTGTCTAATTAAACTCTACAATCATCAGAATTCCTTAGGAGCCATTTTACTAACATAGAGGCTGAGAATAGCACAGACCCTTGAGCGGGTTACAGTGGTTTGAATCTTGGCTCTACTGCATGATCTTGGGAAAGTTTAGCATCTTTTGAATAAATGTTATGTTTAAATGTTAAAGTTAAAAATGGTAAATTTGGGAAGGATGGTGAAGAGAAACATTGACCTGATTGGCAAATAATTCCAGTGTGTGTGTGTGTGTGTGTGTGTGTGTGTGTGTGTGTGCATGTGTATGTGTGTGGGTGTGGGTATGGATGTGTGGGGATGCTGAAGTAGACTTCCAGGCAAGAGGGAACTGTGTAGAACTGAAAGATGGTTTCTGAGCCAATAAAAAGAGTTTTGCAGAAATTTTTAACAAAACAAAAGGTAACATGTATCAGGATAAGACCAGAACCATGACCTCACATGCACATATTTGGTAGAACTACTAGAATTATACAAAAACAAAACAAAACAAAACAAAATGTGTGACAGTTAGCTTGATGTTCTCCATTTATAAAATACATGTGTTCATTAGGGGAATATCTATAGTCAGGTCTAAAATTTCCAAGTTCATAGGAGATTGTAACCATTTTGCTCTAGCTGAAGAAAAGCCATTTGTGCCTGAGTCAAAGCTGAAGTAGTTTTCAAGCTCAGAGGATCTTTTTGATTTTATGCAGAGGGACAGAGTGAGTTAAATATGTTTTCTATTTAGGCTGGGAGAATACAATTCAGTTCATATTAAATGAGGATAGAAAACACAATTCAATAAGACAAGTATTCACATCACAGTCTAAATGATGTATTCCTTTATCAATAAGAACTAATTAGGGAACTAGTAACCTTTATGATTATTTCAATAAAGCATTAATTACACAGGAAAATATAATTTCTGTGAGCACATACTATTTCCTATATCCTATATGGGGTGGGGAGTCCATGCAGCCATAACCAAAGGCACCATGACTCACCTGAAATTTCTCAGAGAGGGTCGACCTTGCAAACTTGAATCTATAAAGTAATGGCAAATACCACAGGACTAGCTTTTCCAGTTCATGTTTGATAAGACACTAGTGTAGAAAGATTCCATCCATCCAGCAAGGATGGTAAACTATTGAAAATTCTAATAACTTGTTATATTTGAATGATCTTTGATTCTAAAAATTATCTTAAACAGGTTTTTCTATAGGTCTGTATTGATTTTCATCAATTGAGTGCACAAAATATTACTTTAAGTAACAGTTTTTAAAAACATTTTCAGTAACGAAGCTGAGCATGCTTCAAATTTTGTTGCAAATTACATGCTTGATAAATTTTGCATTTTTTTGCTGATTAAATAATGTTTTCTACTAAAGAAATAGTAAAGAAGAAGTAAAGTATTCATTAATTTCAAATCAGTGACTGTGATGACATAGCATTATATTATCACTTAAAATAACTCCAAGACCACTTCAGATTTTGTCTAACTGTTGGCAGAAAATAACTGGAAAAGTACCCCTTTTTTCCCCTCAGACTTGAAATACCAATTTCACAACACTAAAATTTCATCAAATCTCATTAGGAATTATTAATATTTCAAGAAGATTGTGAGAATTTTATAACACGATATGCTAATTCCCTTCCTGATCCCATTGAAAATCACGTTTACAAGTAATTTGAAAAAAGAAGGAAAAGGAAACCAAAACAAAACAAAAGGGAAGATGCTCAAGCTAAAGGAACATTTGTTTCTATCTTGGTGGAGCAAAATTAGAGGCAATTTCACCTATTCCTCAACTTGGGGCTGATTTTGTTCCTTCTTTGCACTCACTCGTGTTCCTACAAAAGTGAAGGAAGAGATACATGTGGAAGATCAGAGATAAAGGGAAGATCAATTTTGGAGGCCTTCTAAAAATGCTAATGTAGTAAGAATATTAAGTCTCATTTCATTTTGGAAACAGGTTGTTAATATAGAAAAAAAGTGCTCTTTTCTTTTCATGGTCAAGAACTTTGAGGCTTGAAGTTAAAGTCATGTCAGCCCCCTACATCCCCCATGCAGCTGCCAGTCACAGAACAGACACGAATCAACTGGTGGTGTTGGGTTTTAGAATAATACTGAATTAGTGTAACCAGCTTTCAGTAATAAGTAGGGGTTTACCATTGTCTTAACACAATTAACACAATTATGCGTATTTCATAATGTTCAATAGGAGAAAGCAAATGCAAACAGAAATTTTAAAAACTAAATTATGAGGACAAATATTGGCAGTCTATCAGGCTTCTTTTAATTGCTTAAGGATCTCAGAATCCCCACTGTAGATGGGGGAACATTCTAAAAAATCATCTTAAATAGCTATAAAGTGGTACATCTCATTATTTAGGATCCTCCCCCCATCGTCTGAAGCATTTGGCTGGAGGTAATCTTCCAGGAACAAGGTGTACCCAGCTCATAGCCTCCTCAGATTATTGAAAGTGAAATCTAACCCAAGTCACTGTGGAAACTTTCAGCATAAAGCAATCTTTTGGAGGACATCGTTACCTCTATTGGATGTTCCATGACTGGGGGGCCAAGCCAATATTGGCCTTGGAGCAAGGATAGGGAATAGGGCTGGTGGGGTTGAGGACCAGCAGACCAGGGAGAGGGGGGAAGGGTGGAGGGTGACTCATCGTCCATTTCTCTGACAGAATAGTGACTGACAGAGAGAAGGAAGACCAAAAGGTACCCTTTACAGAGAATGTAAGTTTTGTAGCAATAGTTTGAAGCCATTTGGGAAACTTGCTAGGATTGTTTCTAGCTGAGTTTGTCCCTCTTGGAATGACAGATTTTCCCCGTCTCCCTCCTTGGTCTTCTCAGTCCCTCTAGATGCTCTTAGTGGGATCAGGGGTTGGGGAGAGTGAGGGAGGCCACAGAAGCAGAAACTGGTTCGGCCAACACCATGTGTTGGTGCCCTCCTTTCTCCAAGAACTCTTTCCTAGGCCCTTTCCTTTCATCAAATCCATCTTGTCACCATGTCCTTGGTAACCTTATCCCACTGCCCAGCTCTTCTCTCTCCCTTTTCCCCCATTCCTCCCTATTCTCTCCTCACCTGTCCACCGCAATGGCCGTCATAGAGTAGATGCTGGCGAACACCGCCGTGATAGGAAAGAAGTTCTGGAAGCGACAGTAGTTGGCGCCGAAGTACCACTCGCTGTGAAGCGCATAGATGAAGTTGACTAAGGTGTTGAAGGCAGCCATGGAGGCGTCGGAGAAAGCCAGGTTCACAAGGAAGTAGTTGGTGATGGTCCTCATGCGCTTGTGGGCCAGGATGATCCAGATGACGATGAGATTCCCGAAGACCGCCACGGCCACCACCACGCCGTATGCTAGGGACCAGAGGGCGATGCGCCAGGACGGCTGCACGAACTGGTTGGTGAGGTTGGCCCGGGGCTGCGTAGGCGCCGGGGAGGCAGCAGGCAGTCCCGGCGCGGAAGAGGAGGCCGAGAGGTTGCCGGCTTGGACCAGCAGATGCAGCCACTCAGCCTCAGCCGCCCCTGCCGCGAGCGCCGCACTCAGGTTCCCGGCGTCCGCGCCCGCGGTGCCCGCACCGTCCGTCCAGTTTGCGGCTGCGGCGAGAGAGCCCATCGCCACGGGTCTGCAGCCCCGGATCTCCCCACTCACCGCCGCCAGCCGGAGCCGACTCCCTCGAAGTTCTTCTCTGCTTCCTGGTCCCTTTGCTGCTGGGCGGACCTCAGCCCCTCCTGGAAGCAAGGTGGAGAAGCTACCGCAGCCCTTGCTGGTTATGAGATGCTTGGAGCCAGCAGGTGATGGGTAACAGGGGAGGCACTTTCTCGGAGGAGTTTCCGACTCGAGCAGGCAGGAAGAATGAGATGGGAGGGAAGGGAGACGTTAGGAGCTGTCACCAGCGGGGAACTCCGGGGTTGCCTCTTCTCTGGTTCCCGGGCCCTGGCTGGAGCACTGAGGTTCAGGCGCTGCAGCTGGCTTTATAGTCTCGTACAGTCCCCTGCTTTGGTGACGTTGTGGGGGCCGCGGAGCTGACGAACCCCTTCGCAGGCTATGATTGCGCTCCTTTCCTCCGTCGCGCCCTTCGTATTTCATTCATTCGCTACTTGTAGCCACGCAGCTGGAGCGTGGCGGGTTGAGACACTCAGGAAGGGCTGCATTTTCTCAGTTGTAATTAAAATCTGTACATGATTGATTTTTCCTTTTTTAACTTCAAGATATTTTTGCTGAGGTCCCTGCTCTCAGACATTTCTTATGGGCTGTTCTTTTCCAAACCAATTAAACCATTCATCCCTAAAGCAGAGGCACTATCCCAGATTTGTCGTCAAGAGCGTGTGTGTGTGTGTGTGTGTGTGTGTGTGTGTGTGTGTGTGTGTGTGTGTAAACTGCTGCAGGCTGCGGGTACAGCTAGACGCTCACTTTGGTAGGTGTCGCTGGCCTTTGGAATTTCGCTCCACTTTCTGCTTGTGTGTGTGTTCTCACTTCTCAGATCCTTTTTCCTCACCCTCTTCCGAAGTCTACCCATTTGTCCTATTCTAATCTCTGTCACCAGAAATCAGTTTCCTCTGCCTTCCTCCCGGGCAGAGACTGGTTTCTCCTGGAGGATTCTGCTCACGTTGGAATGCCATAACACACTGAGGGTAAATCAGAAACCCGAGAGGCAGATTTTTTTGAAATACGATGACAAGACTTGAATCTCTTCATTTCTCTGGTGTGAACATATCTTGTAAGCAATCTAAACACATTCATTTGGTTATATGGCTTTGGACATTTGGCGCCTTAGTTTTCGGGCTGACCATGAGGACACTCTGATAAGGGTGAGTGACAGTAACCTGTTTCCTGTGCAGACCCGGAGGGCCTGACTTCTTGAGCTTTGGCTGGGAGCAGGTGAGCAGCAGTGTTTATGGAGTGCAAGCTGGAGATGGATGTGATGGGCAATTTATCAGTATGTTCCAGAGAGGAAACTGTTTATTAGTTTCTTGGAGGCAGGAATAACAGGATTGGGGGTTAAACATATTTTAGCAACCTCCCCAAAACATTGACTTCTTTAAACCCAAGTTTCCTCATTTGAAAGTTAATATTTAAAAAAATCTAATTTACAGAATAATTAGGGGGCAAATAGTTTTCAACAGACTTTCAACAACAGAAGGCAAGGGGAGACCTCAATACATGTTAGCGTCCTTTCTTCTTGTTATCATTGTTTATTTCATCTAAACATTTTCAGGTAAAATAGACTGGCACAGAAAGTTTTATTAGCTTCAAGAAAAGGTAGCATGTGATTTGTGAACATTCTGTATTCTTTAGTTTCCTGGTGTAGAACATATTTCTCCAAAACTCTGCAGTGATTATTATACAAGTAGACCTGGATGTCTGGTAATGAATAATGTTTTCTTTCTTGTAGTTTTTATGACACACAAGGTAGTGTATAGAAATAACTTTGAGGCAACCTGATAATAAATATATTGATACAACCCTGCTTCAAAATAAATGCATGCTGAAAATTATCAAGTTATTATTTATGATTTCTTCTCAGAAAGACCTGTGAAAATATGTGATAAATCATAAAGGAATTTAATAGAGATTCCACATGTCCTGTTTACTAATTCTAAACTAAACCATTTTCTTTTGAAAGGCAGATTATTTCTTTCTGCCAGTTCACGACTTAGAAATTACTTGAGTTGCAAATGAAAATCTCTTTCTTCCATAAGGAAATCAAGGAAGAATTAAAAAAAAATTGTATGACATTCATCAGTCATCAAATAAGTCATGTGGTCGCTTGGTAATTTTGCATATTTTGATCAAATATTTAACATTGTAAAATTACCTAGTTGTGTAGAAATCCATTCAGTTTATTCTGTGCTTTACTTATCCCATACAGAGTATCAGGTCTGTAATTCCGCCTTCATTGGATTTTTCCCTGAGTGGAAATGATATGAAAAAAAAAAAGTGATAATGATAGAATTAGAAGTACTTACAATGAAAGGGGTTTATTTAAAAAAAACGATTTTTTATTTGTTTATTTTTGAGAGAGAGAGAGAGAGACAGCAGGTCAGGGGTTGGGCAGAGGGAGAAGCAAACTCCTCGCTGAGTAGGGAGCCGGATGCCGGACTCCATCCCAGGACCCTGGGATCATGACCCCGGCCGAAGGCAGACGCTCCACCCACTGAGCCACCCAGGCCCCAGTGAAAAGGGTTTAATGAGTTAGTTCTTTCCTTTCAGAGGAAGAGAGGGATCCAGGTCATGGCTTTCCTTTTACATCTGTCTTCCACAGAGAGAATGTCTGTGTATCCCAGTAGAAGATTTATTGTTCATTCATTGCTTCAGTCATTCCTCCCATCAGTGCTGAGGGTACTTCCTTCCAGGAGCTATGCCAGGTACTAGGATGGAGCAGGGAATCTATAGACATAAGCCAGATATGACTCCTGTCCTCGCTGAGCCTGCAGTCTAGCAATATTTTTGATCTTAGAGCAATTATTATGGATGGTGGAATAAGAAAGTACAGAGAAAAATGGGAGTGTTCAACTGAACAGGAGGATGTTGTGTTCACTGGATTCTGGATTCTGTCAACTTCACATAATTTCTTTGTAAGGAAAAGATATATGCACCTCTCTGTTTATTGCAGCTTTATTTACAGTTGCCAAGATATGGAAGCAACCTAAGTGTCCATTGATAGAAGAATGGATAAAGAAGGTGTAGTGTGTGTGTATATATATGCACAATAGAATGTTATTCAGCCATAAAAAATGAGCTCTTGCCATTTGTGACAACACGGATGGGCCTAGAGCATATTATAATGAGTGAAATGAGTCAGAGAAAGACAAACACCATATGATTTTACTTATATGTGGAATCTAAAAAACAAAAGAAACCAACAACAAAAAAAGCAGAAACAGACCCATAAATATAGGGAGCAAGCTGATGGTTGCCAGTGGGAAAAAGGAGGATGGGCAAAATGGGTGAAGGAGAGTGGTAGATACAGGCTTCCAGTTATGGAATAAGTAAGTCACAGGGATGAAAGGTACAGCATAGGGAATATATCAGTGCTATTGTGATAGTGAAGTAGGGTGACAGATCGTAGCCACACTTGTGGTGAGCATAGCATAACATATAGAGTTGTGGAATCACTATGTTGTACATCTGAAATTAACGTAACATTATGTTTGACTCTACTTCAATTAACAAAAATTTATTTGTAAGGATGAAATGAAGTGCCAAAAAATAGACTTGTCAGAAGATTATGCCTTGAAAAATGGGAAGGTTTAGAAGATAATGGCTAAGAAAGAAGCTTCCTTAGACTTCTTCCTAAGAGAATTTGGTGAATAGTCTACTCATTGTAGCTCCAGAATCTGAATCCTGCCCTGATCTGAGTCCACTCTGCTGGTTTCCTAATTCCTCTTTCTATTACTATAAGAACTCCAAAGTCTTAGTCCTGGACTCCCGAGGGAAGGAGGACAGGCAGAGGAAATGGTAACATACCAGAAGGTGACTCTTGGAGAAGGATCCTCTCCTCTTCCATTTAAAACTTGGGAGTGTGGCTTTTCTGCCCACTCCCTCCTGCCCGCCAGTGCTGCTCAGGCTGTACCACTAGCTCAGAGCTCTTGGCTCTGGCTAAACTAAGTCCACAGTGGTCTCTCTCCAGCTGCCCTCATGATCATCTACCAGGACTTCCTCAGCCACGATGAGATGTCCTCTGACATCTGTAAGATTTGGGAGATCGCAGATGGGCTGCGCCTAGAGGTGGAGGGGAAGGTGGTCAAGAAGACAGAAGGTACCATTGATGATTCACTAATGGTGGAAATGCCTCCACTGAAGTCCCTGAGGGCAAAGGTACTGGAAGCACGGTAATCACTGATGTTGCTATTGTCATGAACCATCACTTGCAGGAAACCAGCTTCACAAAAGAAGCCTACAAGAAGTACATCAAAGATTACATGAAATCAATCAAAGGCAAACTGAAAGAACAGAGGCCAGAAAGAGTAAAATCTTTTACGACAGGAGCTGAAGAACAAATGAAGCACATCCCAGCTAACTTCAAAAATTACCAGTTCTTTTTAGGGAAAGCACAAATCCAGATGGCATGGTTGCTCTGCTGGACTACCGTGAGAATGGTGTGGCCCTATATATGATTTTCTTTAAGGATGGTTTAGAAATGGAAAAATGTTAAGGAATTTGGCCATCACTTTGGATGCATCATGTATTGTCGTAACTAGCTGCTGCTCTTCATCCATACAACACCAGGACTTAGACAAATGGGCCTGATGTCATCTTGAGCTCTTCATTTATTTTGACCTTGATTTATTTGGAGCAGAAGCATTGTTTTTAAGGCATATTTCTTTTTTTTTTACATATCATGTAGGTTAGCTGAAGATAAAATGCATTTAAACTCATTTGAGAGAATGTCTCTTAGCTTAATACATATTTAAGTCGATCCTGTGTAGCACCCTGGAGAAGTTAGGGCCTGGTTGTGGACTACTGCTAGAAAGCATAAGACGGCCTACAGATAACTTCTACAGGGAAAACTTCTTCTGGGACTGGAATAGGAAAAAAAACAAGAACCAAAACTCTTAATTCTGAGTTCAAGTAAAGGGAAAGACCATGCTCATAGTGGTGCCAACATTTGA